CCTACCAACCAACCAACCAACCAACCTACCTACCTACCTACCTACTTACCTACCTACCTACCTACCTACCTACCGACCGACCGACCGACCGACCGACCGACCGACCGACCTACCTACCCACATACATACATACATACATACATACATACATACATACATACATACATACATACATATGTATACACGTATGGATGGAACTACCTCTAACTATCTATGTATCCCTTTCCCTCTCCATCTATCTATACTTTTGTGCAGCTAACTACGTCACAGCAAGAGCTAGCTAACTACGCTTCTAGCATACAGATAGCCAGCCGGCGTTTAGTACTTTCTGGCATATATGAGGCGATTGAGATTTTGTAGAACTCTACTACTGTATTCAGGATCTAGAGGATCGGGATTAAGTGACCAGAGTGTGTTGATTCTGCTCCAAGACAAAAAAACTCATAATACCCAGACCGTCAGCTTCCCCTAAAACTTCCCAACAGCCGCGCTTCGTAGTTTCCGGAGGCAGGGGAGGTAGAAACCCGAAACCCTAAACCCCAAGTCTCCGGAGGCAGGGGAGGTAAAAACCCGAAACCCTAACCGCGCTTCGTAGTCTCCGGAGGCAGGGGAGGTAAAAACCCGGAACCCTAAACCGCGCTTCGTAGTCTCCGGAGGCAGGGGAGGTAAGTTGATCAGCTTCCATAGAGGCGGCTCGACGAAGAGCCACATGGGCTCGAAGATAAGCATGCGGGAAAATCCTGAGATCAGAGCATGGTGTGGGTTCCCCTAAGGAGTTTAGGGTTTAGGGTTTAGGGTTCTAAGGGCCCAGTACCTAATAATCATATGGGTGGTTGTCAAAATTATGGTCCCTTTTTGGGTCCTTATTATAATACGGCACCTATTATTTAGGGTACCCCAAAAGGGACCATAATGTTGACAACTACCCATATGTACTCTCCCAAACAGTAACCTACGTAACTCCTATCCGAACCCTAAACCCTAAACCCTAAACCCTAAACCCTAAACCCTAAACCCTAAACCCTAAACCCTAAACCCTTGGGTCCTTCGGACCCTTGGGGTTCCTGTGATTTTGGAGGGGGTAGTAGGGCCGAGTAGTGTTTGGGTTGAGGATGAGTTGAGAGGAGCTGTGATCCATCTAGGAGCTTCCGGGTTCAGGGCTGGGAATTTGATATGTTGATATTGGTTTAGGGTTAGGGTAGGGTTTAGGGGTTTAGGGGTTTAGGGTTGAGGGCTTAGGGTTTAAGGTTTAGGGTTTCGGGTGTAGGGTTTGGGGCTTGGTTTAAGGTTGAGGAATTCGGGTTCTAGTTTCGGACAGCACCACCACTACAACGACAGCTGGAAGCTGTCGATATGGACAACTACCCAACTGCAAGCGTGCCAGGCGCTACCCTATGAACCCATCAACTCAATCTGATGTCTATCCTCAACCTAAACCCTAAACCCTAAACCCCCAGCAGCGGTTTAGGGTCTGGGGATTGGGACCCGCCCGCGTCCCTTTCAAACCTCAACCTGGCCCACGGTTATTGGTTCGAAGGCTGACCTCTCCGTCGTAGGGCTCAATGCTCGCACTCTTGAATCCTTTAAGAAAGGGGCCTTAATAATTAGAATAGGGATTTTGCGGTGTACTGTACTGAAGATACTATAAGTATAATGGGAAGCCTTGCCCCGACTACCCACCTTCTAAGCTTGTGGGTTCAGGCTTCAGGAGCTTATTAGGGTTCATTGTGGCTAAGATTTCGCCGCTGAGCCCAATAATTAATCTAATACTGCTGCCCCAACCCTACAGCTGCTACGCAAAACAAGTCTGGGTAAAACAAACGTCCTAAACCTTCAACCATCGGTGCAAGGATCGCTGTCGCTCAGCGAAAGCTTGCGTGGTTAAGAGGACGCCGCCGCCCAGGGAGTGACCTCAGGAGCCCAAAACAAAGCCAGCAGTCCTTGATTGAGGCATGCGATCGAAGGGCCTTAACAGCTGCAGCACTATCGCATTTAAGTCCTGATGTAGAGATATACGATAATATGCATCATTCCCTTATCTGCTATGCATATGTATGTAGTAAGTGTATATAAATATATACACACACATATGGAGTGCCAATACAAACGAGCTGTGCAAAACAGCATGAAGCCCTTACGAAACCTAATGCATGGTCGGAAGTATTACGAAGGCAGAATAAACAGCTCTTCTACGTCCGAGCAGCCCTGCAACTCTGCGAAATACCCGAAGCCTAATCAACCCCTAAACACCGAGCCTTAACCCGATAAGCCTTAAGCTCTATTGAGACTGACTTGACTGCAAGCCCCGAACTCCGAACCGTAAACTACAAACGTAAAGGGCATGACGCTTCGCTTGTCTTAAGAGGAACCAGAATTTTGAAGCACCAGAACAAACGAAAGGAAAGCACATGAAAGCACGCTTGCAAGCTCTATGCCACTGGTAACAGCGCCTTGGAATCCCTCAACATGCTCCTCGAGACAACAAGCCTGTAGGAGGAGGAAATTATGCTACGCTGATACAAGGTGCTGAAATCCTAGCAACCCCTTATCCCTTAAACACACACCCTACCAAAAAAACAGAGATGGTTACAAAGGCCGGGCCACCCACTGCGACCACTTCCTTTGGAACCTGGTGGCAGGGCGTGCGGATTCCAAAAGTTTACACATTAGATTTAGGGTTCAGGGCTTACGGTTTGAGGAATGTACAGTCCACAAGAGTCCGACCCTAAACCGTGTTTATCATGGACCCTACCTCATCTCGTAGTATAACGGCCAGTCTTAAGGAGGGGCCAGAATTTTTAGGGCCTAGAACCCAGAGACTTACCGTTCGATATATTTTGGGTCTAGATCTATAGGGTTTAGGGTTTCGGGCTTAGGGTTGAGCACTCACCATAGACCAAGAGCCTCACACTCTCCGAATGGCCCTCGCCTCCCACCTGACACCCGAAACCTTTGAATATTCGAGGCGCCTGAAAAGTCTAGGAGTGTTTCTTTCTCGAAAAGCTTGGGCTCCTAAACCCTACACCCCTAAACCCCTAAACCCTAAACCCTCTGCACTAGGAACCCGAAGGGATACTGCCTCTAGTTATCCGGAGCTCCGTACTATGAGTCCTCAGAGGCTGTGGGAGATTGAAAGGCCCTGAAATAGGCGCGAGTTTAGGCTTTGGGGCTTAAAGTTTAAGTTGGTTGGTTGGTTTAGGGTTTAGGGTTTAAGGTTTAAGGTTTCGGGATTTTTGAATTGCGGCCGGGCGGAGGCGGGCGACGCGAAGCATTCAGAAGTATACACAACATGTACAACAGCACAAAGACCTCGCCCAGACTCCAAACCCCTTCGAGGCTTCGAGAGTTTTCTCTGTAATATAAGGGCTTTAATACAGAACCCCCCCCCCAAAAAAAA